TCCGTCCCCTCATCCCCCCATGTCCAAGTCTAAATTCCTTACTGGAAAGACAGGAAAGGAAAAGTTTGTAGTAGATTTTCCAAATACAAACCTTGCTTATATAATATGGTTGTGGCAACCATCTCTGTTTTGGTAAGGTTGACCCATTCTGTGAATAACATTTTTCAATTTAGATTTTTGCAGTTTAGAAAAACCACAAACCATCGTAAACAGTTAAACTAGACATTTTATATATGCATTTAGTACTATAAATCAGAATTTTAAGCATTATACAGGAGAATGAAAACATAAAGCAAGCAGACCCGCCCTAATCTATAAGGCTCAGAGGAAAATTCTTGGAGAAAGGTGTGTTGGGAACAGAGACAGGAAAGGTGAGTAGGGCTAGTAGGCAGTACTGATGGGAAAGAGCCTTTCAGACAGAAGAGAAGACTTATGCTGAATTCTTACAGTGGAAATTGAGAGTGTGGAAATATACCATACATTTATTAGTCTATTGTTTTTTGACAAGGGTGCAAAAAGAATGGTTTCTTTACCATTTAGTGCTGGAACAACAATGGTAAAGAATGGTTTCTTTACCATTTAGTGCTGGAACACACAGAAAGATGAAGTCGGACCGCACATCATCCCATGCATAAAAATTAACTCAAAATTGATCATAGGCCTCAATTTTAGAGCAACTGTAAAAACTCTTCAAAGACAGGAGTAAATTTCATGATGTTGTTTTGGCAATAATTTCTTAGATATGACACCAAAAGCACAATCAACAAAAGAAAAAATAAATGGAGCGTCATCAGAATTAAAAGGTTTTGTGCCCCAAAGGATAAATGCCATCAAGAAAATGCAGTGACAGCCCACAGAGTGGGAAGAAATGTTTGAGTCATGTATCTGGTAAGGAGACTTGCACTTAGCTACTCCCAGAAAAGAGACACCGTCTCTTGTGTTCCTGATTTGGAAAGCAGGGCCCTGCTACAGCAGTCTCTTCATTTCCCTGAGAACAAACCCTGTGGCTAGCTTAAAATTAGGAGCACCTCTGAGCTCAAACTTCATTTCCAAGGTAACAGGTATGAAGTCTGTGTTTGACAGATTCTGAGCTAAGGACACTGGGGAACCTTTGTCCTGGGCCAGGACTGGATTTATAAACAGGGCACTTCCTGTTGTAGTTCAACACTTTGCCTTTAGTGCTGCTTACGTTCCAACTATTCCACCATGATTTGACAGATTTTGCTTCCTTTTCAAATGATAATTTTAAAATAGTCCCAGCATCCTTCTAAATCAGTCCTGAGTTACCGTAGTAAGGTTAGTACATGAGAGGTGAGGACCTACCTGAATTATACTTTGCAGTTTCCTGGACCCGGATGATTTGCCCTATCAGCTACATCCTGAGCTGTGGTCTTAGTGTATTAGCTGCTCTTCGTAGCCCACCATGAACAGAGTCCAGCAGGAAAATAGAAAAAGGGAGACGTAAAATTGTCCTTTCCACCTCCCCCCTATTAAGCAAGAGTGGCTCTGGAAACAATCCATGCAAGGAAATGGGGGTTAGGGAGGGATGGCTGTCTTGCTATGAAGTATCTAAAGAGGAGGAAAGCCTTTTCTGTTCTTAAATGTTCTGCTAAAGAATCGATCACTGTATTGGGGGTAAACCATGTGAATTATTGTGTATTCTGGTGTCTAGGTAATTGTAGGGTCAAAGAGCCTACTTCCCTGGATCAAAGAAGAGATGGAAGTAATTGAACATTTCCAGTTAGAATCAGTGCATTTATCTGAGGGTCATGATAAAGGTCTCAGTGGCTCATTGTGCATTCATCCAGAGGTTTTAGTCAGTTCATGGTATCTTTATTCACATGTTTTAAAACAGATGAGCTCCGGCAGGAGATGCTGGACGATGCACAGAAGAAACTGATGGATGTGGTGACCAGCACAGAAGGGAAAGTGGACAAGTACGCGTGTTCTCCTTAACTCTTACTTATTTTATGGTCAAAACAACTGTACACATTGATGCGTATATGTGATTCGATTTTTTAAAGCCCTTCCTTTTTCTTATACACTGAGTAAAGATGTGGTTAATGTTACCGAAGGGTGAGTCGAATAACTTTTCTTTTGCTTTTTAAAGTAGATTTCCCCAGCTCATCTTCCCAATATGAAGTACCTAGAAAATAAAGTTTGCTTTTACCATTCCGTTATTGTCTTTAAATGAATAGTCTTGCTCAGATGTATTAGGTATGAAACTTAGGTATACGTATGCAATAAAATCTCATTTAATATCTTAAAAATGTAGATATTAATGCATTTTTTTTTGGAGTCAAAGTCTCACTGTTGCCCAGGCTGGAGTGCAGTGGCATGTTCAGGGCCACCACAGCATCAACCTCCTGGGCTCAGACAGGCCTTCTACCTCAGCCTTCCAAGTAGCTGGTACCATAGGCATATGCCACCATGCCTGGCTAATTTTTTGATTTACTATAGAGACAAGATCTCACCATGTTGCCCAGGCTGGTTTCGAACCCCTGGGCTCAGGCAATCCTCTTGCCTCCACCTCCCAAAGTGCTGGGATTACAGGCGTGAGCCACCGTGCCTGGCGACATTAACACATTTTTAATGAGTGAAAATGGGGGACTATAATTGTAATGTTAAGCTCACAAATAGCTGTTGCCATTCAGCTGTCTGTGTCAGGTACTTAGGGTCATACTGGGGTGGAGAGAATGTGGGTGGCTAATCAGGATGTTTTGAAAGGTGTCATTTGAGGTTGTCTGAAAGACTGTTCATTATGTTTGTCAAGATTTTTTTTTAAGTCACTTTATTTTTTTATTTTTTGAGTTGGAGTCTCACTCTGTCACCCAAACTGGAGTACAGTGTCATGCTCATGGCCACCGCAGCCTCAACCTACTGGGCTCAGGCAGTCCTTCTGCCTCAGCCTTCCAAGTAGCTGGAAGGAACTACAGGCATGCACGATCATGCCCGGCTAATTTTTTTTTAAATTTATTGTAGAGATGAGGTCTCACCAAGTTGCCCAGGCTGGTCTCGGCCCATGGGCTCAGACAATCCTCTCACCTGGCTTCCCAAAGTGCTAGGATTATAGGTGTGAGCCGCCATGCCTGGCCTAAAAGTCATTTTAAACTACATTATTGTTTAGTCTTTTTCACAGTTAAATGTTTAGCTGTATGTAATTGGCCTAAGAGTTGTATGTAATTGTTTAGTATAACTAACTATTTGTACATTTAGTCTTCAGCGTTGGAGTACACTCAATGGTGCGTTGGTATGAGCTGTTTCTGCCTTTATTTCACAGAGTCCTAATGAGAAACCTCTTCATTGGACATTTCCACACACCAAAAAGTCAGCGTCATGAAGTGTTACGACTAATGGGCAGTATTCTGGGTGTCCGAAGGGAAGAAATGGAGCAGGTAATGGACAGCGAGAGCCACTGGACACATGTCTACTGAGCTGGTGGCACAGAGGAAAGCGTTTGCTTTTATTGTAGATCTCTCTTACTGGATATAGTTTCCTCGGTAATGTGGAAATGGAATTATTTCATTCTACACTCAAGAGGTAGATTTTTTTCAATTTGTATGATGTTTTACAGTTTATAAGCCACTGTTCAGGATACTGTAATTTTGAGATATGACAATCCCAAAACTTATTTGAGATTACTTGGGATGTATTTTATTGTATTTGTAGCTTCTATTAGTAGGAAACATTTATTAGGAATTGAACATGAAAAGCAAGGTTTACTACTACCAGAAATCATGTAAAAGTGGGTCTTCTTTTCATCTTCTTGTATTGATAGTATTTTTCTGTTTTAAAATAATTTTTCAGATGTTTAATGAAGATCAGGGCAGTGTTACCAGGTGGATGACTGGGTGGCTTGGAGGAGGATCAAAAAGTGTCCCCAACACACCTTTGAGACCAAATCAACAATCTCTGCTTAATAGTGTAAGAACTAATTTTATTTTTGCTGAATAGGAATGGTAAAATTATAGGTCACATTCATTTGCAGATTTAGATTTCTTTTTTAGGATATTTTATATTGCCCTTTTATTTTGGAATTGTGGAAACTGAGACCCAGAGAGGTGCTTAGCATAAGGATAAGCCAGTTTTAATGCTTGTGTTTGCACACAGGTTTTCTTTTAACTTTCTGTATGGCACTTTTATTTCTCAGAGTGTTGGCTGTTCCTTTCTTTGTGCCTGACTCTGCTTCCTTAGGCAGCTTGGCTGCTACATTATGAGTGTCTTGGAGATAGAAGGTTTGTTCTAAGTCATGGAGCTAATGAGTAATTAGTGAGTACCTGTAGTGCCCCAGACTGTCCTCAGCATTGGGAATGCAGCTGCAAGCAGATAGACCAGGTGCCGGCTTCAACCCACATTCTGACAGGAGGAGCCAGCTGGTAAACAGGAAACCACAGCCCAGGATATAGTAGGCCTTTGAGGAATGTCAGTTGAGTTGGGGAGGACTATGAGCTAGAATCTGGAATTTTCTTTTATTTTTTATTAAAGAAGACACGGAGGATAGGTGACTTACCCAGAGCTGGTCAAAGGTAAAACCTTGTTTTACTTGGCTGGCATAATATTTAATAAGGCGAGGTCTGTACTATATTATTTTAATCTGTCAATGTTACTGGGTTTTTTTAACTATATTCATTGGTTGTGTCTACTTTAGAAAATCATGTTTAATGCGTCTTTTCCTTTGATGGCAGTTTTTCGTGTTCATGTTAACAGTAAAGTGATCTGATGTCTAAGTACCATTCTTTGATGACAAGAAAAATAAGTGCTTTGAGTTGGCTAATTCTGATTGTGGGATGTTTGAAATGTGTGTTGCCATCAAAGATTATTGATTAAATTGTTACATTTGTGTAGAGATAATCATTTAACTAAAAAGCTAGCATTCTCAATTGTTCATAAAACTCATTTTAAAAAGATTCAAAATGGCATGATCAATTTTTAATATTTATTAGTATAGCTGGTATATTTTCTTAGCTGAAGTGTATGTAATTTTATTATCTAGCCTAATATAATCGTAATGTTTTCTCTTAGTCTTTTTCAGAGCTTTTTGTTAAATTTCTAGAAACAGAATCTCACCCATCTATTCCACCACCAAAGCTTTCTGTTCCTGGTATGAAACTTTTAGATTCACCAGGAAGGAGAAAACAAGATACTAATGTACCAGAAAGTTATAAAGGTAAAGCCAGATATTTATTTTTTCTATAATTTAAAAAATTGAATGTTTGTGATTATGTTTTATAGTGATGTTAACTAAATCTTTAGTGGTTTTGCAGATATGCAATGACTGCTTCCAGAATTCCAGTGAAGCACAGAACTTTGACTTCATGTATTCTTGTAGCAAGCCGATTCCTAGTTGGCTTAGATTAATTTCAGCAGTTTGAAATACTTTTCCTATGTGTATCAGATAATGCTTTTCTCTCTGCATGACCCACCTTGATTGTCCTGGAGGTGGTAAGCTGGTTACCCCACTGCTTGGTGACCTGTTTTCCTTTCCCTCCAGTGGTTCTATTGCTGCTAGGAGTTAGATGTGTAGTATGTGACTTGAGAAGGGTCTTTCCCATGAAAATCTAAGCTTTACACTCAGTCACCAAACCTTGGCTCATTGATGTATGTGAGCATAGTTTAGTAGATGGTCTTAGCCCTGTAGGAGTACTGTGAAGAGCCCTTGTACTTTGAAAAGTGTCTCTGGAAGCAATGGCTGGTGTTTGTAAACACATGCACGTATTTTTCTTTCCTGCTAGGTGGTAAGGGTATGATTTATGTTCATATCACCTATACCAGCATGCAGTAAAACCTCCTGAGTTGATATTAAATTATAATCAATTAGATGATAAATATCCTCTATTAGAAGATAAATCTGGCCAGGCATGGTAGCTCACGCCTATAATCCCAGGACTTTGGGATGCCAAGGTGAGAGGATTGCCTGAGCCCACAGGTTCGAGACCAGCCTGGGCAACTTGGCGAGACCACATCTCTTCAATAAATCAAAAAATTAGCCAGGCATGGTGGCATGTGCCTGTAGTTCCAGGTACTTGGATTGCTGAGGCGAAGGACCACCTGCAGGTCAAGGCTGCTGTGGCCATGAGCGTGCTACTGCACTTCAGCCTGGGCAACAGAGTGAGACTCTAACTTAAAAAAAAAAAGAAAAGGAACTTAAATCTTCATGTTTTAATCTAGACTAACATGTTTGTCATTTGGACCATAAAAGTATGTGTTATTATATACTCAAGTTTATATCACAGATAACTTAAATTTGAATACAGTAGTAAAGAATTTATATTCTGAAATTTTTGATACTTCCTGTTATTTAGACAAATATTTCTATTTTCTGGACTCTTAGAGAAAGTGATAATTTGTCATTTACATAACAGTTTTGCCTGCTAAATTTAGTGAAAAGTGATTACTTTATCTAAGAGGTGTAGACTGTGCTGAAGACATTTTTCCTTGTTACTCTGGACTGGAGGAGCATCTTGACGCAGATTCCCAAGTTCACTGTGACAGCTCTTCCCCTTTCTCCTCCTTCTTGTCCCCTGCCCTTTTCCTCACCCTCCCTTTCCCTCTGTCCCCTTCTTTCCTCTCCCTTTCCTACCCTCCCTCTTTCCTTTTTAAAAATCCAGTGCTGCCGGGCTAGGTAGCTCAGCCTATAATCCCGTGCCTTTGGGAGGCTGAGGTGAGTGGATTGCCTGAGCCCGCGGGTTCCAGACCTGCCTGGGCAGTGAGACCTCATCTCTACAATAAATCAAAAAATCAGCCAGGCGTGGTAGCGCATGCCTGTAATTCCGGCTACTCGGAAGGCTGAGGTGGAAAGATCGCCGGAGCCCAGCAGGTGAGGCTGCGGTGGCCGGGAGCGGCCACTGCACTCCAGTCTAGACGACTGAGTGAGACTCCAACTCAAAAAAAAAAAAAAATCCAGTGCCCAGCTTGATTTGTTATGATCAGAGACAAAAGGCAGTGATTATCTGAGTTGATAAGGGGTTTGCCCAAAAGAAGCAAGCTTAGTCTTTAATCCTGGATTTGGAAGTGTATCTTAGCTTCCTGGGTAACACCAGAAGACAGTCCTGAGTCTGGAGAGTTGTAGTTCCTGGGAATGTGCAGTCTGGGCACCCCAGATGTGCCCAATGCCAGGTGGATATGAAAAGGTGCTGCAGTGCTCTCCTTATCTGAACCCCATTGGCTAAGTGGGCACTGTGGGGGCGGCCTGTCTCTTACGACAGAGTTGTTAGTGGTCTTGAGTAACAAAGCAGACTGTGTCTAAGAAAGGAGACATTCAACCGTTCTCCATGGCTCAGCCTGTGATCCCGCACTTTGGGAGGCTGAGGTGAGTAGATTGCTTGAGCCCGTGGGTTTGAGATCCGCCTGGGCAACTTGGCAAGACCTCATCTCTACAATAAATCAAAAAATTAGCTGGGCGTGGTAGTGCGCACCTGTAGTTCCAGCTACTTGGAAGGCTAAGGCAGAAGGATCGCCGGAAGCTGTGGTGGCCGGGAGCATGTCACTGCACTCCAGTCTGGGTGACAGAGTGAGACTCCAACTCAAAAAAAAAAAAGAAAGGAGACATTCAACTGTAAACCAAACACCTATTCCAATAAAAGTGAATTGAGCAATCTAACCTCATAGAGAAATGATCTTATCAAGAATTGTTTTCAAACCTTTGAATGCCTACACGATAATCAAGTAATGTGTACATATATTTTCTACTTACTTTAAATGAATATTAATTCTAATTGTTATCTTTGTAATATGGGTTTGCTTTTTATGACCATTATAATTATTTGGGGAAAAGTTCTCAGGTCTTTCTTCTATCAGGTAGATGAGTAAAGGGTTGGCCTTGCAACTTGGACAAGACCTTTTAAAAAGCTGTGATTATTCTAAATGAAGGTTTATCAGTTATATAACTGATATTTAAATATAAAACAACAGTGTTGAGGTGTTTAATGAAGTATTACATATATATACAAATACTGTTCTTTCTCCTTTCCCCCATTTCTTTCTCTCATTTTTAAATTTTACTTATGTTTTTTTCTGTTGAACAGGCTGTCTTGAACTCCTAGACTCAGGTGATCCTCCCACCTTGACCACCTGAGTAGCTGGGACTACAGGTGCTACTACACCTGGCTGCCCTTTCTTTTATTTCTTGTCCTCCTTCACCCTCTGTATTTCATGGGCCTTGCTTGTGGGATCCAGAACCCAGAAGTACATGAATTGGGTTTATTTCAGGGCCAAATCTAGGAATGTAAAACACATGGATAGCGTGGTTCTTATCAGAAAATTTCCTGCATTACTAAGAATGAATTTCAGTCAGATTTCAGTGATAAAAATTAGTGTTTGTGTTTAGGAATTGAGACCTGTTGGTGTTTTCATTTTGAATAATTAAAGAGCAGTCCAAGAATAAGTGCTCAAGGCCAGTGTTATTACTAGCAAGATAGAACTTTTATTTGTTTGTTTGTTTGTTTGTTTGTTTACAAATGAGTCAGAGTCTCACTCTATCACCCAGGCTGGAGTGCAGTGGCACACTCATGTCCACCACAGCCTTGACCTGCTGGGCTCAGGCTATCCTTCCATCTCAGCTTTCCAAGTAGCTGGAACCACAGACATGTACCACCATGCCTGGCTGATTTTTTCATTGTAGAGATGAAGTCTCATCATGTTTCTCAGACTGATCTTGAATCCCTGAGCTCAGATAATCCTCTCGCCTCTGCCTCCCAAAGTGCTGGGATTACAGGCGTGAGCCACTGCACCTGGCTGCAAAGTAGAACTTTAAAGTTGATTGCTCTTGTGTAGCTAGGCTAACCAGTTTAACAATGTGGGAGTAACGTTCTCTGTGCTGTTTTATTCAGAGGGTTACTTCATTTCTACCTCTTTGTGAAGGACAGGCGATGAAATAACCCATTTTGTGTCATTCAGATGCAACAGACTCCAGGACTGGGAGAAGAACAGACGTGAGCCCCTTCCTCGCCCCCCGCTCTGCAGCCGTGCCTCTGGTCAACCCAGCTGGGCTGGGTCCTGGGGGGTCCGGGCATCTCCTGCTGAAACCCATCTTGGATGTCTTGCCCACATTCACACCTCTGCCGGTGTCACCTGACAGCAGCGCTGGAGTCGTATTGAAAGACCTTTTGAAGCAATAGATGATTCTCAAGCCAGAGACGATGTAGCACTTTAAAGAAACCGTGAACACTATGTGTACGTACTTTCACAAAGTGGCCTTTTGGAAAAAGTCATGTTTTTGTTTGCAGTTGTACTTTCTCTGAATTTAATAAAAATATTAAACCATTAAGGCTTTTAGATATTGCAGATGTCAAAAGAGCAAGTGCTTGCTATGTAATCTGCTTTTTTCCTTCCTATTTGACCTAATTTAAGCTAGGAGCATTTGATTTATCTTTATCTTAGTTTAAAAAAAAAAGACAAATACCAGTCGCTCTCTATTAGCTTTTTGTCTCTCATTTAAGCTGGAGACGTGGTTTATCTTTTAAAGATCACCAAGAGGTTTGTTTTTTTTTTTTAATGAAGGAGGAAGGAAAACACTAGTAGTACAGGAAGTCAGTGGGACATGTCTACTTGATGTCTCGGAGGACTTCATAGGCAGGCTTGGAACCAGGCTGTCCCTGGCAGGCCACAGGCCCTGGAACAGGTCTGTCTCGGGTCCTGTGCAGCCCTGCCAAGTGTGTGGACCCGTGTCCCGCCACAGGACTCCTGCACTGCCCTGCCAGCACACTGCCTTGCCCTGTGCCTGCCTTGCTCCCGACAGCCACTCACGGTCTCCACCTCGCCTCTGTGTTGCGTTGGGATGTGTGAGACAGCATGTCAGTTCTGAGAACGTTTTTCTACTCAGCGTCATTTCCTCTGAGACCATCCAGGCTGTTGCAAGTATCAGTAATTTGTTCCTTTTTATAGTTGAGTACATAGTATGGATACAGAATTTAGTTTTAAGAGTTAGGGTATCTGTTTAAAGATACCATCCTAAAACTTTATGTTTCCTCACAAATACAACTTTCATGAGCTGTGTCCATGTTACTAGTTAGCCATGTCATGGAACATTCAACCTCCTGTCTGAGGTGCTGAGTCGAGGACAGGAGTTGGAGAGAGGTCTGCTCCCTGGCATGGCATCACCCACGGCTGTGCTGTTGCTCCGACAGCACCAAGTGTTGGAAACTTAAGAGAAGGTTTCTTTAATTTGTTATAAATCTGCCAAAAAAAAACCCTGACTTGAAACTTAATTGTATCAGAATGTTCATATTTGTATTAGTTATTGCAGTTGTCCATTTAAAAACAACTTCCTGCAAATTTTGTAAATTTCAGTATGCCTTCAAAATAGAAATATTTGTATAACAAGAGAAGGTGAAAACAAGACTAAGCAGCAGGCTAATGGGGGTGTTTGTAAGTTTTGCTGTGATTAACTGTACACTGTCTTTTTTTTTTTTTTTGAGTTGGAGTCTCACTCTGTCGCCCAGGCTGGAGTGCAGTGGCCGCTCCCAGCCGCCACAGCCTCAACCTGCTGGGCTCCGGCAATCCTTCCGCCTCAGTCTTCCAAGTAGCTGGAACTACAGGCATGCACTACCATGCCCAGCTAATTTTTTATTTATTATAGAGATGAGGTCTCGCCAAGTTCCCCAGGCAGGTCTTGAACCCATGGGCTCAGGCAATCCACTCACCTCAGCCTCCCAAGGCGCGGGATTACAGTCTGAGCCACCAAGCCCGACTTGTTGGAAGACTGGAAGTCCTAATGATATGTTGATGGGTAAAACTTGTTTTTCTGAAAATTAAGTAGCAGAGAATGCTGCTTGAAACGTCCGTTTCCTTTGCTCAGGCACCTGGCCATCCTATGTATGGCACACTTGAAAGGAAGCTGTTAGGCAGGGTCCCCTTGGAACTGTCAAGCTGCCTCCTGTTGACTTTGCCCACTTTTATTTCTCTTGATTTCATTACCCTCAGGTTTTCATCTTCTTCTTATAGAATCACTGTCACTGGCTATCCTAAATGATGTACTGCTTGCCACTGAAGTTTATCTCAGTGGGGACAACTGAAATACTAGTTCCTAAGGTGAAAAAAAGACACACGGGCCTTTATTTTGAAGAAATAGAATAAGAAAAGGTTTTTTCTTTAAGTAGTATGTCACTATCTTTGAAGTATGTTTTATAATATTGTTGAGTGTTTCCTTCTCTGACCAAAACAGCCTGATCCCTCCTCATCCCATACTGACATGAATTTAAAAGTCTGGGAATAAGCACCACAGTGCATGCTGTCGCGTGGCTGCTACATGGGTCAGTGTGTCACTGCCCTTGTGCTGCAGCTCTAGTGCCTCATGGTTTCATTGGAGCATTGAAAATGTAGCTGACTGGGGTGCACAATCAGTGTTCATGATCAGAACTGGATAGGACTCACTGGATGTGTCAGGGTTATACCATCTGCTCAAGGAACGCTCTTCTTGGTGAGACTGTCCTAATATTGGCAGGAAGATGTTGCTGACGGTACGTCTAACTGTAGTATTGTTACTACAGTAACTTTTCTGTTTATTTCTTTATCCGTTTAGTTGAATTTGTGGTTGAATTCCACCTTGGCTGCCACAGTTTCTCACCACATTCCTAGTGGTTTTCAACCTCTGCACTATAGTAGAAAACTCATCCAGCCATTGAATGTGTTGGTAGCATAATACTAGGGCACATGGCTGAGTTTTAGTGTGTGCCGTTCTTGAGTTTTTTTTTCAAAATAAGGAAAGGGAAAAAACCAAAACCAAACAACAGAGCTCTAGGGAAAAAGGTGTGGCTTTCTTACTACTACCAGTTACAACATCCAGCATCCCCCAAGCCTTTGGTTTCATTTAACCTCTTAGTGGTTAATTGAAAGGAGTACAAAAACTCAAAATATGCATCCAAGCAGCAGCAGGGAGGCGCGGTATCTTCAGGAATGGAAGAGAAAGGAAAGCTACTTAGAAATACTGTTGTCACCAGATGTCCACCTGTTATGCCCCCCAGCATTCGACTTGATTTTCACATATCAAAGTGTTTAAAGCATCTTCCATCAACAAAAACTTTAATTTTGTAAATACCAAGTAAATACAGGTGATATTTATTTTATATATTCCTATGAGAAAAGATGATACTTTCAATGTTCTGACATTTGTGATTATTTGCCAATCTTTACTTTTTGACTTACTAAGGTTTCTCTGTTTAAAATGGACAAATTACCTTTTGATTTGGGGGGAACATCTCTAAATGTGGGACATTTCCAGCACAGCCTTAATACCAGGTTGTGCTTTATAGAGCTAGTGTGTTTTTTAATTTCTCAGGAGCACTGCAAGGCAGAAAAATCTTCCAAATAAAGATGGTAGACATAGGTTGGCAATGTCTCATCCACAATAAAAATATGTTTAGCAAACAGCCGCTGCCTGTTTCTTGAGAAGAGAGACATGGCTTCCACGTGCTGCTGAGAGCCGTGACCCGGGCTTTCCCCGGGTATCCATTATCAGAGTGCAGTCCGGACCTTGAAGTTCTGTGACTGGACAGTTTCCAAGATGGCAGTCTCTGTGAGTGAGGGCTGCATGGTCTAGGCAGCCTCCTCTTTCTGTGGACATCCGGGCCACCGGCTGCCTGGGCTCTTTTTGAGATCATCAGTGTGGCGGTGCTTCTGTAGATGGGATCTCGAGTGTTTTAGATGTTCACATGATGGTAGATCTGGGAGGTATGTGAATTTTCAATGCAAGAGCTGACCTGGGCTCTGACCTTTCTGCATGACCTTTAACACAGTCACTGGCCTGTGGGCTTCCTTGTTCTCATCTCTGAAGTCACACCCACCTGGTAAAACCTCCCAAGGGTAGCATCACATGACACAGTGACTGATACTGATTGAGTAAGCACATCACTGTGGAGCGTTTTCTGAGCTCCTAGCTCTGAACAGCTGCTGGAGTAGGGATTTTTGAGGCCCGAGAGTGAACAGGAATGCCAGCGTGAGGTGTGCAGCCAAGATTCTCCAGGAGGGGAGGCAGGTCAGAGCAGAGGTGCCTGCTCGAGGGCAGGGGAGAGGGGTGTTAAGACCCTGGGGCTGAGGAGCCAGAATGGGCTGCTGGTGTGCCAGACCTGGGTAGGAATTGAGTGAAGAGCAGTGAGGTGGGCTCCTGGGCAGAGCTGAGGCCAGATGCAAAGGGGAAGGAGTGTTAAAAGGGGAGGTGGAGGAGGCCGAGGGTGGGAGGACCCACCTTGCTGGGAAGGGTCCCTATGGGGCAGGGGCGGTGGGGGACAGACTTGATGAAGACAGGGCCTTTCCTCAGTGACTTTGAGGGAGCTCATCGCTGGAAACCAGGTGGCCCCAGGTAGTGACAGGCGCAGACTGGGGGTGACCTGGGGACATGTAGTGGGGATAAGGGCCCCACCTGGGCCTGCTAGGGGGAGGGCGAGGGCTTCAACACATCCTGAAGGAGGTGACATTAGAGCTCTTTGGAAGGAAGCCGAACTAGAACATTAAATGTCGGATTAGGCTGGGTGCTGTAGCTCATGCCTATAATCCCAGCACTTTGGGAGGCTGAGGTGAGAGGATTGCCTGAGCCCATGGGTTCAAGACCAGCCTGGGCAACTTGGCAAGACTTCATCTCTACAATAAGTCAAAAAATTAGCAGGGCATGGTGGCACATGACTAGTTACAGCGACTAGGAAGGCTGAGGCGGAAGGATCGCCTGAACCCAGCAGGTCGAGGCTGCAGTGGCTGTGAGCGTGCCACTGCACTCCAGCCTGGGCGACAGAGTGAGACTTCAACTCAAAAAAAAAAAAAAAAATGTCAGATAAGTCAGAGGGTTCCAGCCCATTCTAGGAACACAGAACGTCAGAACCCGAACCTCAGCTTCCTGTCCTCAGGCTCAGGCCAGGCCATGCGAACGGGATGTGGCCCAAGGGTTTACAGCATGTTACTGTCGGAATTTAGCACATCCGGCAAATTAATAGTCCGTTATGATTGCAACAATATTTATCTTGGAGATACAGAAAATTCAAGAATGTTGATAAGGGGGATCACTTAAGGCCGATAGTTGAAGCTCCAGTTGGGTTTTGCCCCAACCCTTCAAGTGGAGTCTTCCTGCCTTGGCCTGTTAGCCCTTCTGGGTAAGGAATTGATAATTTGTGCCATAAGGACAGTTTAACTGTGACAGTGTTCAGCTGTGACTGCCTTTACAAGCACAGTCTCTTCAGTGCTAACATTCTTGACTTCAGTGAACTGTTTTTGACCCTCAAAGATGAAATCTCGATGATTTGAAAATATTTGTGAACTTAAGTAAAAGTGTTTGCTTAAGTTGTTTACTA